TGTTGCATTAAAAACATCTTTTTTCCTCACATAAAATAACTGGATTAACAATTGCACAGATCTAAACTGTACTGTTGTGTTAACTTAAACATGATATACCCCACATTAATGTGATAGTTAATTGAGGAAAAATAGGAACTGTATAAATAATAAGAGTATTTTATAACTTATCTTGATTTTCTTTTCCTCATCTAGATGAGTTTTGCCATTAATTAAACCCTAAAGTCTAACAATTCAGTTATACACATTGCTTAAAAAAATGGTCCTGTTCATTCAATAAACATTTTTCTTCTTGCAAGGAATTTCAAACCTGATCTAAGTCTGGTCATGTTTAAAGAGTAAGGAATTTTCAAATGGTCAGTGATGTTGTTTTGCATAGAAAGGCAAGGGTTTTTCTAAAGCTAGCCCTGTTTAGGTGGGACCTGTTAGAAACTTCCCAGCTAGAAGCATTTTTTCTTTGGGAAAGAATCATTCTTGGATGAAATAAACCCTGATCTTGCTCAAGTTCCTTGTCTTGCCTGCCATGGCAAGAGCAATCACCTGATGGAAAAGCACAGCATTAATATCTGGATTATTTACCTCCATCTTCAGTTCAGCTCACAATTTCTGGTACAGGTTTAGGGAGGTAACTGTGCCAGTTCCAGATAAAATTGGGTATGTCTCCTCTCATTGGAAATATTGTGAAAACTGTGCTTTTGGGTTCTGAGTCAAGATGATGGATAACACTTTTTGTTCAAGTTAGAAACAGCTGATAAAAAAGAATGGGTAAAAGTCCCTCATACTGCTGAAATACTGCCTTTTGCAGCACACTGCTCTTCTGCTAGAGCCAGATTTTATATCTGTCAATAAGTTTTATTCAACCTAAGTACCTGTACCTACTCTTAGATTTGTATGAAGAGACACACACATGCAGTGGCTTTTTATAAATTGTATTTTTACTTATGCAGGTTATGTTTTTATATCTTTATTTTTTATGTTTTTATATGTTTTTGGGTCTAACATTTTGTGTGTGCCCCCATGAAACTACGTCTTGTTACATGATTAATTTAAAGTCAGTTTTGTAGTCACTCTAAGCACTTCCTACTCCTATGGTAAAGGGA